TTTGTTTCCTCAAAATTACATTCCAAAGTGCAATATCCTGTGTGCAATTATATCAGTTATGGTCATATGTCTCCTACTTATCAGTCATACATTGTTGCTACATCTTCAGTTAGAGAACCTACCACCTATTCAGAGGCTGTGATAGACACTAGGTGGGTAGATGCTATGAAAACTGAGATCCAAGCCCTTGAAGATAATAAGACTTTGGGAGATAACTGAGCTACCACCAAGAAAGAAACCTATTAGTTGTAGGTGGGTTTACAAGATTAAATACAAGTCCACAGGAGAGATAGAAAGGTTTAAAGCAAGGCTAGTTGCTAAGGGATATAGTCAACTGGAAGGTATCGACTATCAAGAAACTTTTTCCCCTGTTGTGAATATGGTGACTGTGAGGACAGTGGTGTCCTTAGCTGCTTCAAGACACTGGCACATTCATCAAATGGATATGTTCAATGTCTTCTTGCAGGGTGATCTTGATGATGAGATTTATATGCAGCTCCCTCAAGGCTTTGTTAGTCAAGGGGAGAAAGTATGCAGACTAACAAAGTCATTAAATGGGGTCAAACAGGCTCCAAGGTAGTGGAACCATAAGCTGACTGAAGCTCTTACTACTCTTAACTTCAAACAAAGTCAATATGATCATTCCTTATTAGTCAATAAGTCAGAAGCAGGCATTGTTGTGGTATTAGTATATGTGGATGATGTGATGATTACAGGCAGCAGCTTGAAGTTCATAGAGAAGAAAAAACTGGAATTGCAGCAGGCTTTTAAAATGAAGGACTTAGGTGAATTGAAATATTTTCTAGGCATTGAGTTCACTAGGTCAGCAGAAGGGATATTGATGCATCAAAGAAAGTATGCTTTGGAACTTACAGCTGAGGTTGGGATGTCAGTAGCTAAGCCTGCATATACTCCTATTGATGTTAATGTTAAACTAACCTCAAAACTATATGATAAACATGAGAAAAGTCATGGAGCTCCTGAAGATGCTCTAGTAGATCAGACAATGTATCAAAAATTAATTGGAAAACTGTTGTATCTGAACAGGACAAGACCAGACTCGTCTTTCAGCACACAGAACCTAAGTCAGTTCCTACAACAGCCAAAGAAATCTCACATGGATGCAGCCTTAAGAGTAGTGAGATATCAGGAAAAAACAGCTTGGGCAGGGGTTATTGTTTCCTAGCTCTTCTAATGAAGTAGTTACTACATTTTGTGATGCAAATTGGGCATCTTGTCCACTTACCAGAAGATCAGTAACAGGCTATGTGGTTAAGGTAGGGAACTCTTTGGTGTCATGGAAGGCAAAGAAGCAAACTATAGTTTCCAAGAGCTCAGCTGAAGCTGAATATAGGAGCCTTGCCTCCACTGTGTCAGAGTTAATTTGGTTACTTAGATTACTTAGAGAAATAGAAGTTGAAGTGCAGCTACCAGTTCAAGTGTATAGTGATAGTAAAGCTACCATACAAATTGCTGCAAATTCGGTATATCATGAGAGGACAAAGCATATTGAAATCGATTGTCATTTTATAAGGGAAAGATTACAACAAGGTTTGATCAAAGTTAATTACCTTCCTACACAAGAGCAGCCTGCAGATGTATTGACAAAAGGGATATCAAAGTATCAACACGAATATCTCTTATCCAAGTTAGGTGTCTTGAATATTTTTTGTCCCACCTAACTTGAAGGGGAGTGATGAGATATGAGTGTAAGGTAGTTAAGGAGTTAGTTATTTCACTAAGATGCTCAAGGGTAGTATAGACCTTTCGTATTGTTTGTTACAACTAATTCCTTTCAAGTTAGTTAGTTAGTTTGATTAGAAGTTAGATTCTATAAATAGTACTTTTCAGCATTGTAAAAGTTAGTCTTTGAACTCAAACAATGAGAGTTTCTCTTCTTCTATCTTAGCTCCTTGTTAATGGAGGTTTTGTATTAATTTTGTTTCAGTTCATTTTAGTTCATTTATAAAAAAAAAAGAAATAATTGGACCATCTTTTGCAAATTGAATAGGATGGAGAAGTTGAAATAATACTGAAAACTTTCACAAAGGCAAAAAGATAGAGATGTTAGTTCACGAAATGACAGTTCCTCCTAATCTCTCCATTTCGACCTGTCAGGACATCCAAAGTACCCATATGAATCATTGCTGCTGCAAACTTCCTTGACCAAACTGAACCAAATCTAGCATTGTAGTTCACCAATTTAGCTGTTGTCGGGTTTTCCAACAATGCTTGATCAGAAATCATAAGTCCCTTTTGACTCTTTAAAGCCAAGTAATATCTGTTATCCAACCTGTTTGGTGTCAGGGCATCAAGGTTCGCGGGATTAGCAGCTCCCGTCCCATTTGTAATTGCTTCTGGTGGACAAATGGACTTCAAGAAGTCCGCGTATTCAGGATCAATTGGAAGATTTTGTTGATTGTTTTGAGGATACAAACGGCTAGCAAAAACACCGCAATGTGCAATGCCAATAGAATGCGCACCAGAGAGGGTCACCATTTCATCAACAGACATACCTTTACTTGCAAAATTCTTGATGAGTTCCGAGGCATTGACGAAAGGAGAAGGAAGATTAGTCAATGTTTCAGAGTCAATAGAAACACGACCATCACGACGTCCAGTTTGGACATCATAGTATATTCTCCCAACTTTGTAAGAACTGTCCCGAGCAGCAAAGGCAACAATGTCTGCACACGAGACAGTTCCAGGGCATGCAGCCTCAAGTGCAGCTTTTGCAGCATCAATCACCTCAAAACCTCGTAAACTGTTCTTGTTGGGAATACCTTCCTTCTCGGTATTTGGTCCATCCAATAACACAGATGCATCACACCCCTAATTAAAGTACAGGACATGTGAAACCGTTATAAGAATATAATGCAATCATCAAATTAAGAAAATAAAAATGTTAGCATTAAATTTGTGCGTACCCTGACAAAGCAATCGTGAAAATGTAACCTAATAAGTCCAGCAGCAATGCCTGGATTACGAGACACGGCTCTGTTTACAACATTTTGAACAATGTGTTCGGCATAGGGACAAGTATGCCTATAGTAACCTACTTGATCGATGGCCAATATGGTGCTCGATAGGCAATAATAGATGACGAAAATGATAAAATCAAGCAAGCAAAAAGTGCAAGAGCTGAAAGATTGATGCCTTTGGAATCCATTCTTAATTTTGAGACTCAAAAGACACTATGGTTTTTTCTTAGTAATTGATGGATATAACTTTAGGAACATATTGAAGTATTTATAGTTTGAGAAATTCTTGAAGGAACAAAAACAATTTTTTTTTAAAACATGATTGTTTGTATATTACCAAGTCTATAGTTGATGTATTCTTGAGCTTGTCTGACCTTTGAAGAACTCAACAACTACTACATTATGGCATCCATGAATAGGTTGACACTCTTTTTCCTTAATTTTTACTATTTTCTCTAGAAATAGAAAAAAAAAAGTAACAAAAATAGTGAAAAATATTAACAATTTGAGTGGTGTGAAGTGTGAACTATTATATTTCCTTGGGAATCACTTGTGCTATAAGTAAACTTATGTGACATAGTTTGAATTAATACAGAGTTACGTTAAAGAAAAGAAATGAATATGTTTTAACTTTGTGATCTTAAATAGGTTATAGTATATGTGTGCCTATAAAAGTTTTTGGAATTTATCGTCTTATACATCCTTTAATATTTGTGCATGAATTATGAAAGCTTCTCATAAGACTCCTCTTCCTACTTTGTTAAAAGATAAAACAAATCCCACTTGTAGATTGAATTAGCTTGTTTATTTCATTACTTGGTTGCCAATATCTTTGTGCATGGCCCATATGTTATATGTCAACTCATTATGATAGATTTCTTAATTTGTAAATACATGTTTGACTTTCCTCTTTCATCTTGTTAGTACATGTATATTGAAATTTAGTGACTTTGTCTACAACTAGATCCATTCCTATTGTATAACAAGTAGTTGCGAAATCAAAAATTTCGTTAAGAATATTCAAGATTTATAATGTATGAAAAATAATTGTTAACATATATACTTCATACAATTTTCTATATTCATAGTATAAAAGATGTATGACTGGCTACCCTAAGCTATATGTGACTACGCTACTAATAACAAGACAAGTAGTGCAAATAAGTAGAAGTAATCTTTGATTCTTCCCTTATTTTAGTCTACAATCGAGACTTTAGTTCCGGTGATTTGCTTTGCTAGCTGTCGGGTGGAACATTTGAAATGTGAGAAGTCAATACTCCCAAATAAAAAGGGAATTTAACGCTACACTGCACATGCAATGACATAAGACGCTATATAGGCAAGGCTCATGAGGAACCCCAGAATTTGTATGCAAAATGAGCTTACATTAGTGCCAATCAACTGAGCCACCAGGTTTGAGAATAAAAGTGGTCGGTAAATCACTAATCAAAGAACGAGAGACCATCATATTTAATAATATATATTTCTGTGATAATAAATAATCATTAAAAATAAAATAAAACTTTAAACTTAAACCATTTTTTAAATATAAAAAGAAATTATTCTTTTGTGATAAGAGTTCCCAAAATGGTGAAAGTGAAAATCACTGTCAACAATCATGACAGTGTCCAAGAATTTTAACCACAAAAGCTAAATTTAAAAAAAAATAAAAATAAAAATAAAAATTGTGCACGTCCTTTGTTTGTTAAAAGGAAAAGGGCCAAGAGAAATAGAATATTTTTTACTCACGAGTCACGTAGTCCTAAAAATATCTTTACCCTTAACGGAATGATTTAAATTTGCCTCTCTATTATAGGAAATAGAACAAAAATGGCTTTCATTTGGATTTTCTCTCATATATGCCTAATTTTCTCGCTTTTTAAAAAAATAAAATGTGCTAAAAGTGTGAATTTGAACCCAAAAAAATTCAAGGTCTCATTCCTAAGAGTGAAAATTCTGAATCCGCCACTGTCTGTATAATTAAACTATACAAAGTAGAGCATATACAAACTTTATCCGTATTTCCAACTATTTTCAAATTGTAATCTTTTTGATGATCCAAAACATGCACAAATTAAAATACAAGATACATGATTTGATAGCAAAACTTACTATCAACATTACAAGAAAACCAAACACAGAAAATTAGCAAGACAATTATTTCAGCACTCATTAAGATCACATTCTGGCTTTTAGTATAAATCACAAGCATATGGTATAAATTTTCAGCCCATTAATTAAGCTATATCATCATCATGCTGGAGCAACAGTTTCTGCGGGCTTTTCTTCCGCGGGCTTTGGTTCGGGCTCAGCTGGTGTTTCTGTGGGCTTTTCTTCCACGGGCTTTGTTTCGGGTTCAGTTGGTGCTGGTGTTGGTGCTGGTGCTTCCCAAAACGAAGTCTTCTTTCCGGTCTTTGAAACAGTCTGGAAAACAGCTTCTGGTTCCACATTTCCTTTTACGGTCACTTTTTGCTCCTTTATATCGATGTCAAATGATTCAACACCTACAATATATTCATACAGAAGTTTCGAGTCAAATTAGTATTTTTTATGTTTCAATTTATGCCAACACTCACAGATTAATGTATTACTATATGAATTCAACTTAACTCAATAATAATATTATCTAAATCTTGTATTTGTATTAAGATAGAAATCCAAGAACTCCAAAGGACTAGAATCTAAAATCGATAAATTAAACCTCTGAATTCCTATTTAGTTTGTTTTAAAAAGAACAATTTAATTGCAATATTCACATTCTACCCTTTATGACATGATTTTATAGACATGAATATATATCATGACATGTTACAGATGTCAACAAACTTCGTGTCAAGCTAAACAAGTTTACATAAAATGAAACGGATAAAAAAAAAGTGCAATTATATACTAAAATGTACCTTCCATTTTCCCCAAAACTCTGTTGACAGCTCCAACACAGCCTTGGCATGACATACCAACCTTGAGAACAACTGTCTGCTTATATCATTTAGAAAAAAAAAAAGTTGATTAACTAATTTTGAAGTTTAATTTCTATGCACAAATAATGTTATTTCGCGTAAATTTATTTATGATACTCTAAACTTCCTTTTTTATGCGAGACAGAAGATGTAACTATCTAAGCTCTTTCAATTTATCCCGTCTTTAGATAAGTGTTTGCGGCTAAGATGACTACTTTGTAACTATTTGTATATACTAAGAAGTCGATAAATGGAATCGATAACCTAAAATTATGATAAATTACATGTTATTATAACATGTTAAAACACATTAAAGTATATAATTAAACAATGGGATGGTAACAGTTTTAGTCCCTCAATTGTTAGTAATTTTGATTTTATCTTTGTGATATATATTTGTAAGACACATTTTATCTTTTATTTAATTTAAAATGAGTTGTTTTAATCCTTTTATGTGGGAATTAAGTATATAATATTTGTGCTATTTTTGCTGATATAAAGTAACAACACAATCTTATTATCATACATGAGTAATTAAGTAGTGAAATGGTGAAATAATTATGAATATTCACTAGTAAAGGAATTAAAAGTGCACATTTCAGCTAATTAGAGATTAAATATACTTAATAATATATCACAATGATCAAAATTAAAATTTTGTAATAACTAAGGGGTCAAAGTTACAATTAGCACTTAAACAATGGTTATTATATAGTGAGCTAAAATCCTTAATCAAATTAGGTGAATATGACAATGTAAGGTCATGAGCTTTCAAAATATTTATCAACCCCCCCCCCCCCCCTATATTTAATAAATACTAACAATATAAGTTGAATTCTCACACACAATTAATAGTTATTATCACATAATCAACGTCATCTTTGTTCTTGATTTCAATCTTCTTTAACAAAAAAACGTAAAATAATAACTATTAATTAAATGATCATATGAGAAATCAACTCGATAGTCTTTAACTAATCAAAGATTGTTTTCATACAATTCAATATGCCAACAAGGAAAAGCATTCACCAAGAACCTAGAATTGATCAATTTTGAGCTCAAAAAAGAGAAGATTAAATTTCTTTATATTAATTCAGATCATCTTAAATTAATTAATTATTTGAAATCAAGAACCAAAATTTCCACTTAAAGTGGGGGGGAAACCCTAATTCTGATTTGGATTACTTAGCCAAAATTCATCAACCCCTTTAGAAAATCCAAAGATTATTGTTGACTTAAAAATAATTTATATCAGTAGAAAAAAAAAACATGGAAAATTGTGAACATATCTAGAAAAATAATAATATTGAAGGGTTAAAGAAAGAGGTACCTGAGACATGATGAAATGTAGGGGGAAAAAATGTGAAAGCTTTTGCTTTTCTGAGAAGAAATGTAAAATGTGGACTTCTGAGATGATGGGAGAATTAGCTGTCTATGACTCCCTATTTATAGAACAAGAATAAAAGAAAAGGACAAAAGGATACTATTCTTTGTGTTGTAATTTATTGGGATAAGTGTCTGAAAAATATCCTAACTTTGGTCAAATTTGTTGTTTGATACTAAATTTTCATGAGCACCTATTACCCCCTGAACTATTTAATAGTGTATTTATGTATCTGTAAATTATTCCATTAATAATAAAAGAAATTAAAGTTAAATTATTACCTAGTATTTATTGCTGATGAATGTGTCAAGTATGTTATGGAATTAGTCAAATGTGATTCTGACACCACGATTATTAAAAAAATATATATATTAAAAATTCTTTTATCCTTGATAATTCTTAGTGTGTTTATTTCCTTTTATCCTTGACAATTCTTTCTTATAATATGACATAACTTGTGTTTAAAATCTTAGACTTAAAAGTGTTATGCACATAGAATACAAAATAAAAAATTACATCATTCAGTTTCGTGTTTAATTAAATTAGGACATATAAAGTAAAATAAAATTCAAAATATATCTTCAAAATAAAGTAAAACAAGATGATTGAAGTATATCTTCAAAATCTATTTTTCATAAACCTGTGAACCAATTACAATCGAACTTTCAATATATTAGGGTTAGTATATAATTTAGGGGATCAGATTTAGGGGGATTTTAGGAGGGATTGGACCGGCTCACTATTATTCCTAGTGGGCCGGTTCTTAAGAGATCGGGTTAGGTTATTTAAAGACTTTTTAATTTCTTTAAATTTACATCAAAATATTTATTTACACACTAAAATGATATAGTAGATGAAATTCTCTTACCTTATTACTTTTCTTAATAAGGTAAGAGACTTCCTACCTTATAGGTGGAGTGTTAATTGATTGACATGTGTAGAAATAAACGATAATTTAGATAAATATATATTCTTATTCTTAAAAATATTCAATGTACCTCTATTTTTTATGATATTTGTATAAAAGTGTTTTTTTTTTAAAATGGATAATAAATAAGAGAATATATTGTTTCTAGAATCTATGGAGTAATAATGTTGAAAATGTTCTACACAAAAAAAAAGGTATATGAAAATGTGTAGATGTGATTGGCACTTAATGAGTAGTTGCTATTGGTTAGCTTGTTGGGTTGAACAAACTTTTTATTTGAGTACCAAAAATATTATTATGTTCTTACGTAACGTAAAAGCATGCCTAGCTTCTTCTTTTTACTTTTCTTTTCAACTAGCTTTTTCGACATAATGAGCGAACGATCAGTATTCAGTTCGATACTTTTTGGTAATCAATATTTAAAAATAGATATTGAATATTGAATTTTTTGATAAATCAAACTTTGGTATGATAATTCAGCTATTACGTATTAAAGGAAAAGATAATTTGACAAAATATGTTCATAATTTTTCTAATATTTGACTAAGTTTTTTGATAAAAACATGCAAAGAGATCAATTGTCCAGTCCCAAATACTAATATCATCATAGGTCAATAAAGATATTCAAATCACTCGTTAATATTACTCATACATATGTATAACCTAGCAGACGCATTACGATTCATGCGCTAAAGAAATTTATATATGATTAGTGTTGTTGACTGCAATGGACTTGATAAAATTAAAAAAAATCTATCGACTCACAATTATTTGATGCAAGACTCATATTTAATTATCTATACCGTTGAAGTAAGTCTTGGTGGTAGATGCAATTAGTTGTAAGATCAATTTTCCGTTAAACCATCAAATATAAAAAATTATTTACTCGATTAATTTAAATTTATATTATACGAGGCTTATACGGAAAAAAAATTATTTTTATTTTCATGGCTTAAATTCAAATTTTTTTATTAAAGGTGAAGATCTCATTCAGGATCAGGAGGAGCAGATCTATAGGATTATATAAGGCTCGTTGTAGGAGGAAAAAATATCTCGAAGATTATTTTTTTTCATTTTTATGACTCGAATTTAAGATCTCTAGAGTGGAGAGCTCTCATTTAGGGGGAGAATCTATAGGATAAAGTATTAATTCACATGAACTCAATAACTTTTCTCCAAAATTTTATATTTATAATTTAAAAAATAACTAATATATACTAATATTTAGCTCAAAACCACTGCATTAGTCAAGTTATATCTAGGTGTATACTTCCCCATCTTAAATAGTTTAGTTTTTAATTCTCATTTTACCCTTATTAAGAATATTTATGAGAGTTTTTAAAGTACAGATTTCAAAAATCTTACATTATTTTCTTAAATTTTGTATTAGATCAAACACCAACATGTAATTAAAATGAATAAAGTATTAATTAACTTAAAATAATTATAAAAATACATAAATTTTAAATTTTGAATTCATATCATCTCGATTAGTTACGTAGATCCCACCATACCTCTTAGATGATATTATAAGGTCATATATTCATCCAAAAGTATTTGCTTTTCATTTGTTGGAAGTCACCAACTGTTAAAAGATTCGATTGGACGGTGCATTTGGTATATTATTGGTTGGACCAAACTTTTATTATTATTATCACTCCAAAAAAGAGTACAATTTTCATCCACTTTTTGTTCATTCTGTAGTACACACATTTTGTGTTGTAGTACCATATCTATTTAGCATGCAGTACAAAGTTACAGCCACGTCCAAACACACAAAAAGACGTACTTAATACGTAAACGTGTTATTCAATTTTGAATACACACAAATAAATATGTGTTATACATGATATAATATCTATCATATATAGTATAATGTAATTCAATTTGAGTGTATCTTATATATACAATGGCGTAGCGTAATGGATGATCAGTTGAACACCCTTTATTGAAAAAGTATACTTTGTATATAGAAAATTATATAAAGTAGGGGTGTACATGGATCAGGTTGGTTAGGAATTTTCAAACACCAAATCAAACCATTTGTGTCGGATTTTTAAATCTATAAACCAAACCAAATTAATGAAACTCAGACTTTTCAACTTCAGATTCTTGGGGTTTTAGGCTTTTTTGATGAAGTATTCATACAACATATAATTAATTTGTGCTTCAAATAACTCTTAGGTCCTATTGAAATATAACTAGGATAAACTACCTTATTAGACATACATCACTACTATATATACTAATATTATCTTTACTTTCAAACAATTACATATATTATCACTTTTAATATTTTATACCATATATTAATATATTATTTGAAGATACAATTAGATTATTAGATACCCACATACCTTAAAACTAAGATTGATTAATTATCTGCTTAATTAACTCTTTCACTCCAAATCAACCACTATCTCTTAATTCTCCCCTCCCATATTTATCACTCAATTATGTCTCCTCCTTTATGATTCAGGAATTTCATCGTACAATTTCATTCCAACAATAGTTAATCTACTCTCTTCTTCTCAAGATATCATCACCGTGGCCGACAAATTCTCCTAAACCCAAATATTATTCTGTATTGTTCATTTATAACTAGATCAAATCAAAGTAACTGCTACAGAGAAAACTTTAATTCAGAGTGGGTCTTGATTATTTGTCTCCGGAAGAAATGGATCTTAGTTTTGATTATGTTATGCCACAACGCAAAAGGATCAAAGGGAGTATTGTAGAGAGTTTTTGTTTGCTGGTGTTCTTCTAAGGCTTTCTTTGGTTACCGTGACATGGATTTGGTAGTACCAATATTACTTTGATATAGCCCTTGAAACATGTGTATCCAATAAGTAGTAATCTTAATTAAGATCTGAGTTGTATTTTTAGTAATAGGGTGTCTGACCATGTATATGTATCCACCATTAAATTTCAGATACATGATTTTTAACAACACGATGATATTAATGATACGACAGATACGCTACAGTCGTGATTTGTTCCTAAATTCATGTGATTCAACTACATTTCATATTTAGATACACAAAATTAAATGTATATGCTTATTATGTATTCGAGATACATGTTTTTGGATATAACATATGAAATTTAAATACACATAATTAGATGTATATGCTTCTTCTTTTTGTGTATTCCATATTTAGATACACATAATTTGATGTATATGCTTACTATGTATTCGAGATACATGTTTTTGGATATAACATATGCAATTGATACTTGATACATCAATTTAGTACTAGATACATATAAAAGATACATGAAATTAATATTATATATATATAAATAGATACATAAAATTAATACTAGATACCTATAACAAATACATGAAATTAATGTTAGATACTTCTATGATACATATGAATGTACTTGCAGGACACTCGTGTATCTAAGTATTTAGTTTGTTGGATACATCATATATTGATATAGATACATCAAATTAATGAATTTATTATTTTAAGAGTAATAATTGAAATTAATCAAATTGCATTACCAAGATATACATGTTTTTATCTTAAATTAATAATATTAATGAATTTACTATTTCAAAGAATAATAAAATGAAATTAATTATCTATGTATTTTGAAAATCCTCAATTACTCCTCTAATTAAGGAAATCAGTTCCAACCAATTAATTTAAATAAATAAATTTTGTATCTCAATTTTAAAATTCGGCAAATACTGCATGTATCTCATGGATTCAGACTCATGTATCCTAAGCATAAAACATGGTACATGAAGTAATATTTGAAACTATTGAGAATCTTAATAATTAAGACCTAAATTAGTGGGATTTATGTGGTTTGCCCATATAACTATCTAAAGAAGTTTCTTAAGAAAATAACACAAAATATGATAAGAGTGATGACACTAAAATATTCAACAACAAAAAAATGAAATCGCATAAAATAAATATTGCAAATAAATCCAACATGGTGGGATGTACGTAACTAATTTTGAATAATATCATCTTGAAGTTATTATAGTCATACTATTTTAACTTAGAGATGATAATGATCATAATTTTTAACTAAATTTATCCAATTATTCAAAATTCATAATATAATAACTTCGAGATGA